GGGGGTAATCAAGCATGACCTACCAATCTACATTTAAAAGGAAAGTGAGGTAATTTCGAAATTAATATCAGCAGGCATTTGGAATCGCGTCTACCCAGGGACGGTTGTTACGTTGTATTGACTTGGCGATATACTCAAGCGCGCTCCAAACTGTCGAAGCCATTAAAGGTGAGAGAGGCGGGGCGGGACAACAGGGCATAGAAAAAGTGCGAGCAAATCACATTAACTGTGACCGATAACATGAAACTTTTAATAAACATGTTCCGTTGGGTGTATACCCAAACCAGTATGTATTTGGGAGCAACAAAAAAAATAATTCATTTGAACTTGAATACAAAATATAAAGAGTCAACATTGCACATTCAGAGAAAAGACTGCGGTAACTCAGTTGTATGTGAATAAAACTAAATAAAAACGAAATCCCCAAGTTGTCTTGACCGACATTTTTCTTCGATCGCTATTCATTCGAAAAAATGGGGGAAAAGAATTCCAACACTTAATAACACCAGTGCCAGTCGCGGAAGGGAACCTTGGCCCTTGAACACAATTCACTCGAAAGTGTGTCTACGTCTTTCTTCAACCACGGCTCGACCCGCACGGGCCAGCAAGACAGTTCCAACAGGAACAAGACTTTTATCTGCTGGATCAGGCGTGGACCACAACCTTCGTCAAACATGTCTCTATAGAAAGGTCAGTGAACAGCGTTACCCAACACCACGTACAGTCTGCAAGAAGAGCTCCAAAAAGGCATGGCCGAGCCCACATCTTTGTTATAATGTTTGAGCAACAGAGAAACATAAATGAACAAACATATTGCCGTCAGCCCCCGCCCGAGGAGGGGGGGGGGGGGTACCCCTTGCCTTAAAAACTCGAGAAACACGGTGGAGATCGAAGTCAAAGAGTTCTAAAAAATACCCAGTGCATGTTGCACAGAGTTTCGTCAACTGTATTTGATATGGTCTGATACATTCGACAAGCATTCGACGGATGGTGCTGGCCAGCGTAATCACAAATTGACCTCTGCTTTGTTAAGTCAACATTTGACTGAGAAGTCCACATCATGGGCTAATTCCGAACTTGCAATGCGTGTTAGCCTTCTGATTGGTTGTTTGCATCAAAAGTATCAAACGTATCACATCGTGACCTGGAAAATCCCAAGTTCGATTTAGAAGAATTGTGTATCAAACTGTGCCTTACTGGTAGCTTTTCCCCCACCACACTAAGAAA